GCTCTATTTGCCGGGGAGTGTAAACAAATGTGAATATCAAACGTTGGTTTATTAGCCTTGGTCGCCATTGGAGGGCAACTCGAAGGCGCGAATGATTCAATCGTGTACAAGTTAGAAGAAGTCGAAAGAATACGAATAAAAGTACAATACATTCCTTGTAAAACATTTGTTTATAGACTTCGTACGAAATATTGACTTTAATTGCCGAACAATACAATTTCTTATTGGTTCGTGTGTTTTGGAGTTAAAGTCGATAATCGTACCTAGAATAATTGTCGATTCGAAGCGTCTTCGTAAATAATACGAACATAGAGTTAAGTTCCTTGACAAGGTCCCTATCCGAGGAAAAATCAATGCATATTAATTCCATGGAAGATGGTCAAGGCAACATGATTATAAAAGAAGAGAGACACATAAAAATGTGCGGATCCTTTCAAAGGACTCTTGAATCGACCATGTTCACCTGCAGTTCGGCCAGAAATATCACCACCAACAACAGCACACACAGAACTGCCTGCTAATGCACACCGATTCTCCAACAAAAGCAAAAGTCTTGAATGCAATCAAGCACCTGACAGCGGGCAGGGAAGGCAGCATGACCTGATGGAATTCCTCCGGGTGCACTGGGAACGGATCTAGAGACCACGGCGGATATGCTCATGCCACTATTGCAAAGGTTTGGAGGGAAGAGAATGCATCTACTAGTTGGGAGCACGGTTACGTCGTCAAAACACCAAAGAATACCAATTGGAGCCCCTGAAAGGACTTACGAGGAAACAGGCTCTTGTCCATGCCGAGCAAGCCATCAAGTCGCGTCCTCATGGAGAGAGTAAAAAGTGCGCTCGATCCAGAACTCCTACAGGAACAGGCTGAATTCAAGAAAGGCAAATCATGTGCTGAACGAATTGCAACTCTATGCATCACCATCGAATGTAGTGCAGAATGGCAGTCAAATTTCCACCTCAAACTCCTCGGCTCCGAAAATACCTTCGACAGCGTCGACCATGAAGTTATTTGGGAGCTACGCCGACACTATGGAGTGCCAAGACATCTTTATCAAGCTCATTCAATAGCTACATGACAATTCCACATGCCAAGTGATTCACAACGGAAATCCCAGAGAAGTCTTTGAAGTGAGTATAGCAGTAAGACAAGGCTGCCTACTATCAGCGATGATGTTCCCAATTGTGGTGGACAGGAATAGGCTTCGAACTGAGTGGAGTGAGGAGACAGGAGTGCGTTGGACCGACGAGAAGACTCTAGAAGACCTGGACTTCGCTATCGATTTACATCAAATGTCACACAAATTCGAGGACCTGGAGGCAAAAACCAACAATTCACAGATGAGTTAGGCAGCAAGGACAGGAGTTCAAGTAGACACAGGAGAAAACGGAGGTGATGAAGATTCTCAAGCACTAACAATAACAGCCATCACTGAGCACCAATAACCACCAACGGAATGAATTTGAAAGAGTTCACTTCCTTCACTTATAAAGAAAGCATAGTTTCAACTACAGGTGGAATGGATGAATATGTCCAGACCAGGGTTGGAAAGACAAGGCACACCTCCAACACTCTGAAATCAGTTTGGCAATCTGCCGCACTCAGCATAAAGAACAAAATTCGGATTTACAGCACCAATGTCAAGCCAGTTAGTACTTCCATATGGGCCAGAAATTTGACGCGTCCATCAAGAAAAGCACTTCTAACAGGCCACTGCAGACTTTTATTAAGAGCTACCTCCGCTCCATACTGAAGACCAGATAGCCGGGTAGAAAGAAGTGGCAACAAGAAACTCTGGGAACGAACCAACCAACAACCTACTGCTCAGAAAATATTCCTAAGAAAATGGAGATGGATCTGACACACGCTGCAGAGACCGTTGGGTGACATCATCCACCAGGCCATAGATCGAGTGGGCCATGCCATATCAATGCTTTCCTGTTACTGAGATCACTGGCTAAACTCCTGTTAGCACCTAGGCGGGTATTATCATTCCCTTGGACACATGATTTGACTTTCCTGAATCCAGCTTGATCTGGTCAGTGGGACAGAGTTCTGCATCCAGTGCATCTTCCATTCTCTCCAGCGTGATGCGACTTAGTACTTTACTTAGTGTGGACAAGAGCATCATTCCACACCAGTTCTTATAGAGTGAGACGTTATGCGCTCCTATTTGGTAGTTTGACAAGGCAGCCCGTCTTTCTTCAAATCGGTAGGCATCTTTTCTTCCTTCACAACCTTAGCAATAATGGCGTGAGAATATCTGCTGCAGTCTCTGAGTCCGTTCTCCGTGCTTCGAGGTTAATTCCATCTGGTCCTACTGCCTTCACGACTAGACTCCATTAGGCTGATTTCATTCAAGACTTCTGCTCTTGTCAGGGCATTTGTGTCCACTGGCATGCATTTGTGTGCGTGCTGTTGGTGGTGGTGATATTTCTGGGCGAACTGCAGATGAACATGTTCGATTCAAGAGTCTTCTGAAGTGATCCGTCCATTGTTTTATTTGTTTCTCCTCCTTGATAACTAGGTTGCCTTGAACATCTTTTATGGGGTTCATCTGCTTTGAGTTTTTCCGGGATAGGGACCTGGTTATCTGATATAATGTTCTCAGACCTATTTTACCTGCAGTCCGCCTGTTCTGCTTCAGTTGTCAGCCATATTGTCGTAGAATTGCCTTTTGTTACTCCTAGCAGTCTGGTTCACCTACTTATTCACTGCACTGTACTTTAAACTCAGCTTACGGTTCTTGTTTCCAATAGATAACTTCATGTTAATGTGAGAGGACGCCTAAGAGAGTTCAGATTGATGTATGCGCTGAAGATGTTGCCTAGTAGGGCGATGAAAACTTCGCAAATTAACTATCCAGCTCAGAGAACACAACCATATCAAAATCATCCACCTGAGCTACAAATCTTCTCTATCATATCTAGACTGCCTTCAATCTAAGAATTCCATTGAAACGATTAGGGTATGCACAAAATGTCGAGTCATGTTCTGTTGACTCTAGGAGGCTACCCCTAATGCTCAAACTCCTGATATCGAGGTAATGGTGACCTTAACACGGTAGCATCTATGATTAAAAATCTAAATGTTGAGTCATTAATAAAACACCCGAAGAGATCCTATGTTATGTTCACCTTGAACAGAAAAGAGTAATACTGAATACTCTATCGGCTGTTTAAGCATGAAGTTAATCAGTCACGCCTAAAAATGTACAAACTCGATAAACGGAGTACAGCAACGAATAGGGCACCAGAAACACGGGAAAATGTATCACAGTGAATAAAAAGAGTGAAAAAGTCCACATCTAACATGGAAACGATGCCTCGAGAGAACTACAACAAATGACCGAAAGCTGGCGGGTAGTACCATCGTGATGTACAGCTTGAAGTTTACTCGGTCATTGAGAAGATTCAAATGCGTGAACGCAGCAGAATGGAATAAGATGAAGAGCAGTCAAAAGAAATATAATGGTCGCTAAACTTCGAGTGAACAGTCTAGCTGTTGTGTCATATAGGAGGGCGAACGTTTTGGTTATCTTTCTTAGAATTCTTCGGTAATATTTTTGATTATTCATCAGTTGAAGTCTAACAAGCGATTGAAAAACACAATAATTTTGCCTTTCATTAAGCTTACGAAATAATTTTTCCCCATTGGTCACTCATGGATGCACTGCACAACAACAAACTATCGTTAGAACAATCTGAAACTTTTCCAGACTATATTACAGTGGAAATTCAGGAAGGTATACCAAAGTTTCGCTTGCCAGCTGTGTAAGAAGACATCACACACACACAATACTCAGAAACACATTTATTGTAGAAAACCAAGAACAGATGCAAGACTTCCTTCTTCAATTTTTAGTATATTTCAAAAGTTATGATAGAAATTGAATTACAATAACAAATATTGAAATTCTGCACAGCAGTATTACACCTCCTCATTTGCATATATGAGTGGGAAAAAATGTATATTTTAGATTTCATATAGATTGTGAAATACATTTAGGCACTTGTATTCATTAGAACAATATACAGGCACTTTTCTTTAACATGAATCTTTCCTGAATGGTGGTAACAAGATATGTGCATACATACTATACCCATCAGATAATTCATTTATTTGCTTTCTCCAATGACATAAAATAAGCTAAGCGTGAACTGTATAACGATGCTTTGTTTGTCTATTTAGGAAAAAAAGATGTAGGTTACACATTGATGTGAATATCTCAGCTGATATGGTACACACTAAAGAGAAACTGAGATAAAGTTAAAAAGAAGCATGAAATATCAAGCAGAAAGACAGTGGAGACAAGGGGAAAAAGAGTAGAGAATTACGTAAATGGCAGTGAATGTTTGGTATTTATGAGGTATGTGTTCTAATTCACAAAAAATAGTCCCTAATATATATATTTGGAGAAAAGTGTGAATATAAATGAATTCCTATACAGGGAGGATGAACACTTTGAACAACAGGAAGAATTTCTTGATTCTTGATGAAGACTAACAATAATAGCGATAATAAATAACGCGGTATTTGGTCCGACTACAGTTTTGGGCAGTTTATTGAAATTGAGAGGAAAACATCTCTCTGTGAAGTTTGAAATGTTATTCTAAAGATGTAATCCAGTGTTCACATTCGTTCACAACAAGTTACCGAATAATTGCAATGAAGAAAGTTGGCATGGCAATTATATATATATATAAATTAATAAAAGCCCTCAAATATTGGTAGTAGAAAGGCAAACGGTTGTGAGACACAAAACACATTAGAAAATGAAGATGGAAAATGGACAAAGTGCTGCAACAAAATAAAGGCAAGTTTGAATATACATATAATATAAATAAAAAAGACAACTAGAGAATATATATTGAAATTGTTAAGACTCAGTATATGAGCCTATGAGATAAGGTGTGTATGCGCAACCAACTGAGAATGAATTCAACTTCTCTGGTACAGCAGAGATAGATGGCAATAACTCCATACTGTGCGTAATTCTATGGTACAACTACAAGAAGAAAAAAATAAAAGTAGGAAAAAAGTCACGATTACTTACATTATATACACTTAGATTTAAATTGAGCGCGATATCTTACAGTGACATCGGCCAATCTCATAATTTAAAGCAACTATAATACATAAATATCGGTTTCGGTAAAAAGCAAAAACAAACTATAAATGTGAACTACTGTAAGGTGTCAGTCTCTCTTGCAAATGCAGTGGCTTCCACTCTTTATGTCAGAGAATCTAGTCGATGTGTTTTCATTATCCATAGAATTCTATATAGGTAGATATTTGTCAACATATTCTTACCATTAGTTTTACTTTACTTCCTTAAATTTGAATATAAATTTAGAATTAAACCAAGACAATATATGCGAACAATATTGTTTTCAGTTAGATCTTCCCTAGACTTTAATTCTAATAAATATGGCTTTATATTTTTAGAATTTTTTAACTGAAATCAATTCGGTCATATGCCTACTGAATAGAGGAAGAAGGATAAGTACCGACAATTCCTTAGAAAATGAATTAGGATACATCCACAATGTGCTGCTCCAAATGGGTTATCCCAGTGGATTTGAAGGACACATACAAGTATTGTTTACAACAAAGAGAAACCGACCAGGGTTAAGAAGAAATAGTTATTCCTGAAGTTGCATTTCAATATAAACGTGACTAGTGAAGTACTACATATAAGGCTATCTAGAGCCATAAAAAAGGCTTACACTGATGCCAGCCTTTGTCTGTCATTTTTCTACCGACCAATTATGATTGTTCAAGCGGAAAGTAGGCTGCCTAGTTGTGCCACTTCTATGTGCACTTACAAGCTTAGCTGCTCCTATGGAGAATGCTATATATATATATATATATATAGCATCCCTACTTTTTTTTATCCTTCACGTTCCCCAGTGGAACATAGGGCTTCAAGCTAGTGGCTTGAAGTTTCTGTAGCAGTGTTTATTTTACTTACAGGATGGGGTTGCTAGCCTCATGCCCAACCTTTCCTCTTTACCAGCATTACTTCTGGCTTGGCGAGGTAAAGGAGTGCGTCGGCCGGGGTTCGAACCCCGGACCATGTGCATGGTCGGCGAGCGTCCTAACCGCTATACCACCGATGCATCCTTACTTGTATGATATTTATTAAAATGCCGATTATCTATCCACTTCATCTTTAGTACTAAGCAACTTTTAATTTAATAAGATTCTAACTTGATTTAATTACTGAACTATTTACAGTATCATACTATCTTTGTTCTTCCTATCGCCATCCATGTCAACTGCTTGAAGCTTTGTAATCACTGACCTTATTATCATTATTACTGCTCCTATTATAATCATCATCATCATCACTGACACATTCACAACATTTAACACTTATTACTTCTGATCCACAAACTCATAGTCATTTAATTTAATTTTAGATTTTCCCGTTGATTGATTGGACCAAAGTGCTCGATCTAAAATTGAATTAAATAATAAGTAAGACCTGCTGCACAAGAGGTGGCTCAAGTGATCTAGTGGATAATGTTTCGGCGTTTGAAACTACGGATACTGGGTTCGAGTCTAAGTGGGAACACCATAACTCACTGGGGAATGCAGGTAACTGTAGTTGGTGAGTCCAAAATAGGACGAAATGCGCATCCTGGATTCCACTGCTAGTCACCATCCACCAACTGACTTCATAATCATTGTCTACAATTTTATATATATATATATTTATTTATATAGCTATGAACATTAGAGTAAAGCGTGAGGATCTCATTGAATACAATGTTGTCTCGTCTATATGTCTTGTTTTAATTTAATAATGTTAGAAATAATTTAAGGCTGGCGAATGAGAAATTACGGTGGATTTTCACGTTTTAGCCGTAATTTTTCAGACGATTTTCTCGATTTGTTAAATCATTCATCTCCAGCTTTACAAAAACTGCATTGTGGTAGATGGGAGGAAATTGGTTCGAAATATCTTGATATTGAATGAAATCTGTTTAAGCCAAATAATCGTTATGATGATGAAGTGCTCCGTTCATATCAACTGTACTGGACAGCATACTCTCACGCCAGCTGCATTTAAAACAGCAGTCTTACAAATAATCCGTGAGAAGATAAACAAACTAAAATTCGCGATACTGAAGATCTTTTTATTTGTATTCCAATGGCAGTTCACCTTGTCTTGACTGACAGTTAGCTGGCGTGCTTGCATTTATGATCGATCAAACCATATATGCTAGTCATAACAACTGTTCTTGGAAGAATAACCATGCCAGAAAGGCTGTTTCAGTAGCAGTGAGACTAAAACCCGCTACCTTCAGAATGTGAATGCTTACAGTATTGTGGGAGTTTGAAGCTGAAGTCACACTACTGACGTAAGTAAGATATTTCCCTCAAGTGACCATAAAGTCAGTTGCTTAGTACTTCAGATGTACAGTCACTATTGATGTCAGGGAGTGCGAGTCTCATCTAGTCTTCGCTCCGTCTAGTTGTTTTAATTCATATCCTTAGAAAAGAACAGTTACTCGACATCGATAATTACTACACCTATTCCATCTAACTGATGCTTGGTAAAAAAGAGCCTGATATTCTGGCATCTATAAACTTGTGGATATTAAGTGAATCCTAGTTTACAGTGCCACATATATTTTACATGAAAACACCCATTGAACAACTTTTATGGAATTTAAAAAGCCACTGTACAAACCACTGTTAGCAATGTAACAAAAATTAACACTTGCAGGGTTGATTATCAGAAGTTTAGATGATAGTAAGTGTAGAGCTTCGGCACTGTGGTAGAATATATTTCCACATTAGATAAGTTGATTTCAAATATCACACAGTGATGCTGCAGTATTAACAACTGGATGATGTTTCTAGCATAAATTATTCTCCATAACCATATCAATTTAGTCTCACGGTTTCACAATATCCCTAACAGTAGCAGTTGGAAGAAACATTGACCATGCCGAAATCTGAACAAATCCCTCATTTTTTCACACATATAAACTCAGCAGTGGATGGAATCCAATTCACTTCTGAGTTAGAAAACGAATAGGGTGGGTTGGCCACGCTGGGCTGTAGAATCAAACGTAAATAAGATGGTGAGATAGCTACTAACATTTATAGGGAACTGATACACTTTAATAAATACTTAGAATTTAACCTAATCCTATCCAGAATCGGTGGAGATAGGTTTAGTTAAGTATCTATATAATCCGGCCAAGAGCCTAACTGGTAAGCCAGAAGATTTAAATAATAAAGTCAAACAAACAAAGGAAATATTACCAATGAATAACTACCCGCCAGAATTTATTCAGAAATATGTGAAGAACTATAGAAAAAAAAAAGATTAGTAATAAAAGTGGCGAAAATAATATAGAATTCAAAGCTTCTGTAGTACTGCCATGTAAAGAAGGGACGTCAGAGGCCTTACGTAGGATTCTCAGTGACGCTGGAAATAGGGTGGCATTTAAACCAACCGACTCTCTCAGAGGTAAAAATTTGTCGCTTTAAGGACCCAACAGATTCAATTAGGAAAGATAATATAATTTACCAAATACCATGTAGTGACTGTGAGGTCAATTACATACGTCACACTAGTAGATTAGGGTCAACTAGATTATTGGAAAATAAAAATTTAGATAAACCTAGAATGACTGGTCCTGCTTGGTTAAATAAGCTAGAAAAAAGCTCAGCCACTGCATTGCACTCACTCGCATGTAATCACAAAATAGGATGGGACTGAGTGAGAGTATTAAAAAGTAACATAGTCCGGTGGAGAGAGAGGTTAATCACTGAAGCTTTGTTTATCGATTAAACAAAGCACACATGCAATCGGAATGACGCAGTGCCTATGCCGGATATGTAGAAAGTGGCAACAAACAACAAAAGGAATTTGGAGAGATAGAAAGTGAGAAAAATATATATATAAGACGAATTGTGAAACCGTGTGGTTAAAGTGATATGATTATGACCTTCAATGATTTATGCCCAAGATGTCATCCAGTTGTTAATAATGCATCACTGTGTGATACTTAAAATAAATTCATCTAATACGGGGTTCAGGTGACAGGTTTATTGCTTGAATCAATTAGTTGCGCGTATTTGTATTGCTTCGTAGAGAAATGGGAAATTAGAAATGACACAATGCATAATTAAATTCTCATTAATTCACTTCAACTACTGACTAGAATCAAGTAGTTTAAGATAGATGGCCGGAAATTACTCTATAGTGGATACCTATTAGTGTAAATAAAGCGCTAATGGAGAACAAAAATTCAAATGACTTCGATATTTTGTGCATGTAAAACATTGCATTCAACTAAAACGTCGCCAAGATATTTTTGCCAGTTTGCATCAAGAAGCATTTAAAGACACTTTTACTTCAACATAATTTAGAAAGCACCATTTATCATAAATGAAACATTTGTTTGATTATACTTATTTCCACTACAGAGAAAGTATCAATGAGTATATTAGGCAAGAGTCCTGAATATACATCTAATTTGTTATGTCCAGAACCTGAAAAAGTTACATTTTACTCAGAAATGATGAGTGGCGAATTAGTTTTGACTTTCATTCCTGGAACAAGCAGATACACTATGAATACATTTATCATCATGCTGCTTTAGAAAAGTTATTCTTTAAGTCTGACCTGATGATTTTCACAGGTATACCATCACTATGGTAAAATTTTCGAGTTTAGATGAATATAATATCGTGAAAATCCTTTCCAGTGATGAATAAAATGGTACTTTGAATATTGGAAGGATAAATGAATGAGGATTGGTAACAACAGGAAAAAAAACAATACTTAAGGTGTCGTTCTGTCAAGAATAAACTGATTACACGGCCCTTGGGGAAAGTGTATTAATTTCAAGAGGCATTTCATAAGATGCATTCAAAATGATCCGTTTATTAGATCCGGAGGAATATCAAACAAAACAATGCGGAATTTGTTGTTTGAACGTCGGTTAAACACATGCCTACAACATTCAGTTATTGTACGCC